CCTTATTGTCCGACTTTCACATGCGTAGAGGTAACTGAGAATACCTCGACTCAGGTACACCGTAGTTCTCAAAGTGACATCTTCATTGTTAACCCTTGAAAGGGATCTTTGGGGAGACCTGCCTTGGCTGGGGTCACACCATCTCGAAGGGGGGAGAGGGAGAAGACCGTCCACTTCAGGCTGTGCAACATTAAGACAAGGCTATGGCAAGTCAACCAGCCTTCTGCAGGAATGAGAGGAGAGCCTTACTGGAAAACAAGTGAAGACCAGGGCAGGGGAACACCTACCTTCAGAGGCTGTGATGAGATTTCGGTTGGAGAGGATGTGGGTGAATGGGGAGGAGCAACCTCACGTTGGGAAGGGAGGGACACTAGACAACAGTTGTAGGAGACCTAAGGGAACAATAAACTCGATTTTATGTTCCTGGGTAGACACTGCAAATGTATTTCTACCCTGCCCTCGGTGAACCACGCCATAGACTAAGCACCATGATGGCCTTAAACACTGGCCTTGCAGGCAACATAGCATGCCCTAAGGGCCCCACCAAAAGGACTCACTGTAGGAGCCTGGCTGAACGAAATGGGCCCTCCTCAAAACTACCTGCACCCATGGACTGAGGACTGACACACACTGACAGGAGAGGAAGCAATGGGTGGCCACCCCAAGACTGTGGAAATGGCAGTCATTGGACCTTGGGTGGGACCCCTGACTTAGTGTGTATGCAATGAAAAGGGACCCAGGACCACCGTATATTTAGTATCTCAATGCTCCCCTTGCATTAGTATGACAGGTTTTAATCTGTTAGGCAAGGATCTGCACCTGTAAGAATTGATACAGGGAATTTTCTCCTAGCACCAATCCCCATGCTCAATGTAAACGGATCTCAGTCAATTAAGAAATCAATCTGTACAAAGCAACAATTCATGGATTGCAGCTTGCAATTGGACTATGCTTGCATAAGCTCTTTATATCAACAGTATCTTGCATTCTGTCATTGTAAAGTTTTACAATGATGTTATCATTGCAAGCGCCTTATACCCCAGGGGGGAATAATTGACAATGTTTTTCTTTGTTGTTTCTTCGGTTTTTGTTTTTCTGCCTTTTGTTGGTTTGTTTTTGGTTTTTTGTTATTGTTGTTGTTCGTAGGGGCTTTTGTTTTTGTCATAATAAGAGACCACCAAAGTAAAGTAAAGTGGTTTATAACCCATAAGCAAGCAGATGGAGTCTGGGCTCCCACTTAACATTAGCCCCAGCCCAAGAACAGTTAGTTATGATAATATGGCCCTACTCGATATTCCCCTCTATAAAATGATCACTGAAGATAAGGGTGCTACAGCAAAGTGTGGTGAAGAAAGCAAATGGTGCCCGGCTATCAATTGGAATAGTGTCTGGGGTCTTAAAGACTTGTATTCAGACAAGCAGCCATCTAAGTGAGACATAAACTAGGTTCACATGGAAGAAACTCACCAGCCTGTGTGATTCAGAGATGACAATGACAAAATCCAGATATGGCGAAGGGGAAAATATCGGAGCTAAAATTGTGAACACCCAGTTTGTAGGACAGTGGGAGCCCCAAATCCACCCACAGACTATCTAGAAAGATTAAGCCTCTGGAAGATTCCCTGTAGCCACAGGCAAGGGACTCCCAACAGCTTTACTACCACACAGAGATTGTGATAGTAGAGGTATTGTAAACTTGATGCTGGTGGATGGAACCATGGTCTGATACGATACCTGAATTTGCTCTAGGCGGAAGCATTTCTCTCCCATTCCAGGAAAGGCACCACTTCTCTGGTCTTTTAAATATTAATGGTGGTCTTTTCTTTTTTACTCTTTATTTGTATTTATACCTTTGTAGTATCATTATTAATTTCTTCTTGCTGTTTTGTTTTACTTGTGTTTCTAATTGTTTTTGCTGGGTTTCCCAGTTTGTAAAGCATAGAAGTGGATGCATAGACAATAACTGACACAATGGTTTAGAGGGATGTAGAAAGGGGTGGGGGGTCGGGAGGGGGAGAGGGCTTGGGGAGCAAACTGTGGATGCAGAAGTGGGGAGGGAGCACTAGAACTGACTGGGGTGAGGTATATACAATGCTTTTTTTTAATAAACTCTTTTTTTAAGTGATTTAATCATGGAAGTAAATGATATGTAAATATTATATCTAGAAAACTACTAAGAAAAGAAACCAAACTTGACCGGTGGTTACCATGGTGAAGGAACAAGAGTTGTTGCTTAGTAGGCACGGAGTTCATATGAATGATGGTGGAATGATTTGGAAAAGGTTGCTGATAATGGTGGTACAACATGAAGAGGATGACCAATGGCATGGAATTATTGTACACGTAGAAGTCACAGAATTGGAGAATGTTTCGTTGTGTGTATTTTTGCCACAATTAGAAACAATAATTACATGAGCAACAATGAGTACAAGGAAGAATATGTTCTAGAATTGAATGTGGCGATAATTGTATAATTCTTCTTGATAGGATGGAATTGTTTAACTGTATGTCATGTGGATGAAGTGCTAACAAAACTTTTGAAAAAGATCTTTTGCAGCAAATTGGTCTTACCAATATATTGCTTGATTTCTTGATTACTGCTTGTCTGGGAGTTAATTGTGTTTCCAATAAAATGGAATTTTTAACAACTTTGATCTTTTCTCAGTTGTATGATGGTGTTGCTTATTGGTTGATTTTCATTTTCTTTACCTTGAGATGTAATCCACATTGAAAGCTGTAGTGTTTGATCTTCATCAGTAAGTATTTCAAGCCCTCTTCGCTTTCAGCAAGCAAGGCCATGTTGCCAGCATATTGCTAATTGTTGCAGAATCTTCCTTTGAATTCTGATGCTTCATATAGTCTGGTTTCTTGCATTATCTGCCCAGCATAGAGATTGAATGATGTAAAAGGATACAACCTTGACGCACATATTTCCAGATTTTAAACCATGCGGTATTCCCTTGTTCAGTTCATACAACTGCCTCTTGATCTATGTACAAATTCCACATGAGGGCAATGAAGTGTTCTGGCGTTCCTTCCCATTCTCAGTGTTTTCCATGTGGTTCGCACAGTCCAATGCCTTTGCATAGTCAATAAAACACATGTAAATATCTTTCTGGTATTCTAGGCTCGTAGCCAAGATCCATCTGACATCAGCAATGTCTCCTTTGTTCCAGGTCTGCTTCTGACTCTAGCCTGAACCTCTGGCAGCTCTCCATCGATGTACTACTGCAACCACTGTTGAACTGTCTTTAGCAAAACTTATATGTAATAATAGTCATATTATTCTATAAGTTCATCATTCTGTTGGGTCACCTTTATTTAGAATAGGTATGAATTTGGCTCTCTTCTGATCTTTTGGCCAGGTAACTAACTGTCTTCCAAATTTTGGGCAGAGACATGTGATCACCTCCAGCTTTCCATCACTTTGTTAAAACATCCCAACTTGGTAGTCCATCAATTCCTGGAGTCATTTCACTAATGCCTTCAATGCGGTGTAGACTTCTTCCTTCTATACCATTGGTTCTTCTTGATCATGGGCAACAACTCCTGAAATGGGTCTTTTTGGTACAGTGATTCTGTGTATTCCTCCCGTCTTCTTTTGATGCTTCCTGTGTGGTCCAATATTTTGACCATGAAATCATTCTTCAGTTTTGCAACTTCAGGCTTGAATTTCTTCTTCAGTTCTTTCAGCTTGAAAAATGCCAAACATGTTCTTCCCTTTTGATTTTCTAACACAGGTCTTTGCGCATTTCAATGTTAGATTTTACTTTGTCTTCTTGAGCTGCCCATTGAAAATCTCTGTTTAGATCTTTTATTTCATCTCTTCTCCCAGTTGCTTTAGCTTCTCTACATTCAAGAGCAAGTTTCTACTTTGGCCTTTTCTTTCTGTCCTGTCTTTAATGACCTTTTGTTTCTTCCCCCAGCTCCTCTGGGGACTCTTCAAGGCATCTTGATTGCATATTCCATTATTCGTATCCGATGGACCAGCCTATTCTTGAAATGGTCTCTACATTTCATTTTGACTGTCTTAGACTTGTTTTAATATACTTCAGCTTCAACTGGAAACTTGAGTATGAGCAAATGATTGCCTATTCCACCGTCAGCCTTGACAGATGATAATGATTTTGGGCCATTGTCTTGTTTCCACAGATGTAGTCCATTTGGTTCCTTGTAGTCCATCTGGCCTGTTCTTTGTGTATAGTCACCATTTGTTTTGTTACAAAACGGCATTTGCAGTGAAGAAGTCCCTGGTCTTGCAAAATTTTATCATCCCATATCCAGCATCACTTCTGTTGTCAAGGTCATATTTCCCAACTACTCATCCTTCCTCTTTGCTTCCGACTTTTGCACGCCAATCCCCAATTTCTTTAGTCTGAAATCGATCAAATGTGCAATCAAGATGCAGACTAAAGAAGTTGGAAGAATTCTTCAATTGCTTTACCATTGGCCTCAGGGAGCATAATTTTACACCAGAGTGTTGAAAACAGTTAACATGCTCAGCTGCTAACCGAAAGATTGGACGTTTGAGTCTGCCTAGAGGCACCTCGGAAGAAAGGCCTGGTGCTCTGCTCCCCCCAAATCACCCTCGACAACCTTTTGGAACACAGTTCTACAGACACACACATGGGCCATCATGAATTGGAATCCACTCTCTGGCAACCTGAAACCGCACCCAAAGTGTGGCCTGATTGCACCGGCCCGTATGCTGGGAGAGCATCCTCACTACTGTTTGTGTTGAGTTGTCTCTTGGGAAAAATCCGAGAACTGGCTCCATGTGTGCTGTGTGTTCGGACGCACTCACTACCTGCTCGTACTGGGCTTCTGCAAATGAAGGGCTTTGGGAGGTGCTAGGCTAGTAACAAGTGCGGACGCCTCAGTCACCCCTGAGGAGTACTTTGAAAACTGCTGCAGAGTAAATGTGATGATTGGGGATAGATGTTCTCTGTCTTTAATGTAAAGCCTTCGTATTTAAAAAAGACATTCCCTTCGGATTCCAGGTAAGAACAACCACTGAAGATGTCCAGCAAAACGGCAAGCACTAACAACATAGCCCAGGCGAGGAGGACTGTGCAGCAGTTAAGATTAGAAGCCTCCATCGAGAGAATCAAGGTAAGAAGCCTCCACCAGAGCAGCCACGCTTTCTGACGAAGTTCAGCCCTTCTCCAAGACCGGGCCAAATTCAGAGAAGGGGATGGCGAGGAGCCCAAGTGGTGTAATGGTTCTGCATTGGGCTAACTGCAAGGTGGGCAGTTTAAAACCACCAGCCGCTCCACGGGAGAAAGAAGAGGTTTTCTGCTCCTGTAAAGAGTTACAATCTCGGAAACTCACAGGGGCAGTTCTACCCTGCCCTATAGAGTCGCTGTGCATCAGAATTGACTCGATGGCAGTGAGTTGGGGGGCTTTTTTGTGTTGGGGTGGTGCAAACAGTTAATGCACTAAACTATTAACCAAAAGGTTGGAGGTTTGTATCCACCTAGAGAGACCAGAAGGAAAGGGCGAATGATTAATTTCTGCAGATTCCACCATTGCAGACTGAATGCAGCGCCTTCCCATGCTGACCCACCCCGGGTCACTGCGAGTCTTAGTAGGCTTGACAAAAATGGTGGGGTTTGATGCCGTGGGGATTTTCCCAGAGAAAGCGGAGAGTCTCCGGATCCTCGCTTTCTTTTCTACCCAGCACAGAGCTGAACCGCACTGGAGAGATCAACAGCCCACTCACTGTCTGAGCTTCCCTCTCTGTTTGTAAAAAACCGAAAACACTAGACGGGATTTCCTGAGGACTCGCCTTCCCTGAATGAACCCGGTCAAGTCCCGTGATCACTTTGTTCCACCTAGAGACGGGGATTTCAGCTGGAGTTCATAAACACCACTATCATCTCTGGAATTTATGTAATGTTCTAGAGTTAGCAGTCCAGCTGAGGTCACCTGGTATAATAAGTCAACGGTTGGGTGAGGGGAGGGTCGTCCTTTTTTGGGCATTGTCTCTTTTTCAATGTGTGCAGACTGTAGTGACCACTTCTCCACTGGGATGAGTAATGCCAGCTATTGCTGGGAGCTCAGAGAGAAGCCCGGATGTATGTGTCAGGTCACCTGACTTTGAAGCCGTTTCCTCCTCTGTCCCAAGGGAGAGCTGAGGAGTGCGTGCCCTGGAATGCTGTGACTAATGCTGTTTCCTGAAAACTGAAGCAGTCACCTGATAAATTCCTCTGGGCCTGGAGACAGTCACCTGTCTTAAAAGCATGATGCAGGCTATGCTGTACTTGACATTGATCTGATTATTCTGCCTGGCCTCCTCCACTGGCTTCTGAAATTGGGGTGGCATGTTCCATTGGTAACTCCCGCCAGAGTTGGGCACTGCATCTGCCCTTGCTGGCTGTGGCCTGCCTTTGATTTCCCCAAGCCCCTTCCTTAACCGGTCTCTGTGCTCCCGATCCTGGCTCTCCTTGCCCATTGGCCAGTGCTGGATTCCAGTCCCTTCTTCGCTGGGTAGAAACTAAAGGGACCACCTTCCCTTGGTGCGTGTACACTTTCCCTTTGCTGCACTGCACCTCCCGACCCCCTTCACTTGTCGTCCTGAAAACAGCTCCAGTCTGCAGGAGCGTGTGGCGGTGAACACTTCCGTACCCTTCGGTGGTGGCGGTGCTTGCCATGGGCTAGAATCCCGCCCATGGGGCCTCCGGGGGTGCAGAGGAGTCACGCTCCACCCGGCGGTCAGGCGGTGGCCTTGCCGAGCAGATTGCCAGCCCTGCCTTTCCAAGAGCCACTGGGTGGGTTCAGAGCAGCACCCTTTGGGCCAGTAGTCCAGTGCTTAATGGTTTGCACCGATTTGCCCATTTACCCTTTGCCAAGATTTAATGGTTAACGTTTTGCCACATTTGCTTTCTTGCTTACTCTCTCAACACACACGCACGCACGCACGCACACATGCACACACACAAACCACATATCATTTTTAAAATAATTATTGATTAAAAGATTATTTTATTGGCTCTTCCAGCCCCTATAGCAATCCACACTTCAACTGTATCGAGCATATTTCTTGTGTAAACCATTTGGCAGTTATTTGCAGTCATCATGACTCTTCAGCCCTCTGTCCTTTACCGTGTAGCTCCTCGCTGTGAGGAGGGTGTGCTTGCCTATGACCTTAGTACAAGGACCATAGTCAAGAACGCTAGCAATTATCGAACAGTCTGTTCTGCAGGATCCAGGCCACTTATTTTGCAGCATGCACCCCCCTTTGCATGGGGCTCCCGGGCTGCTGGTTAGAGTGGAATGTGAGGAGGGTGTGCTTGCCTGTGACCTTAGTACAAGGACCATAGTCAAGAACGCTAGCAATTATCGAACAGTCTGTTCTGCAGGATCCAGGCCACTTATTTTGCAGCATGCACCCCCCTTTGCATGGGGCTCCCGGGCTGCTGGTTAGAGTGGAATGTGTTGGCCGGAGCCCTGACTAGGTGAGGTGGTGGCGTGTCCGAATGAGGTCACTTGTCTCACCGGTGATGTGTCTGAGCACTCGCTGAGAACGAGCTCTCCATCTCCCAGGCTCCTTGTCTTTTTGTCATTAATACGATTTCCTGGTGGTGATGGTTAGGTTCGCATTCCAGTGCGAGGGGGTTTCACAACATCATGGGAAATCCCACCCTCTGTCAGCGCCATGTCTCCACGAACTCACCGCAAAAGCCCCTGGGCTGCGTTTCAGGTTCGGAACAGGGCTCGGTGTGTTGACGCTGCTTTGTGCCCTTGCCAGGTCTCCAAGGCTTCTGCGGACCTCATGTCCTACTGCGAGGAGCACGCCAGGAACGACCCCCTGCTGGTGGGCATTCCGACTTCCGAAAACCCTTTCAAGGACAAGAAGACCTGCGTCATCTTGTAGTGGAAGAGCGGTGCCACGCCTCGCCCCTCTCAGCAAGGCAGGCTGCGTCCGACCAGCTCCTTGGAGAGGTTCCCCTGCGGCTTCTTTGGTGTAACCACTGCTAATAACAAAAATGCTCTTCCCTTGGAATCCTGGACTCTGAAGTCTTTATTCTCCACGCTGCCCTTTCTCTAAAAGACCCTCGACTGAGTCCATAGAGAGTACCTGTTGTGTGTCCCATTTGGTAACTGTGGTGTCAACGTGAGTTAGTGAATAAGGAACGTTGGTCTTTAAAACACATAGACGTTCAAAGATACATGTCATTCGTCTGCTGAGTCTTGAGTTGCCTAAGCACTTGTCTAGATTAAAATGCTAAGAATTACTTAGATACTAAAGCCTTTTCACTCGTTTTGTGTTATTAAATAGAGTTTGTGCCAATCTGTACAGTATCTGACAGTGTGGGGTAGGTGGGAGTTGGTGGTTTTAGGTGTATGTGTGTGTATATATATATGTCTTCGTGTTGTATACATGGATCAAAGAGTTTATTTCCTAGTTGAAGCTTTTTTTCTGTCTCCGTATTAGCAAGTCATCAACTCCCAGAGTTGCTATCTTCATCGTGAGCGGTAGGGAGGTGGGTAGAACCAAACTTGCTTTCTCAGAGTCACCGTGCCAAAATGAAGGGACTTCCAAAAGTGTCAGTTCACGGGAAAGCAGAGGCCAGAGCCTGCCCCCCTCTCAAAACCTTACGGGGCCTCTTGGGCGACAAAAACCTGTGCCAATTAAAATCTAAAAACCAAACTAAAATGCCTTTTTTTCTATTAGGAGGTATTCGTTCACAAGGGCCCTGGAAAGGGGGAGGGGCCCCTGGGTGGAGACCCAGACGAGACTGATGCTGGAGAGAGGCGGACGAGGGCCGTGAGCTGAGCTCCGTGAGGAGCTCAAGGGTGTACCATCCAGCTTGTCACCGCCCAGCTTTGGACTTTTAGGCCTCTCGCTCGCCACTTCCCTCCATCTTTCCTCGACCAGAGCATCCACTTTCAGGCAGGATGCCTGCCTCTCCAGCCCCAGGGGGGTCATAATCCGTACACCGTCCTCGGCTATCTGCAGTGTCGTTGCCACCCTGTCCACAACCCACTCCATGAAGAGCGGCTGCTCCCTGGGCCCACCTGTTCCAGCAGCCATGTATTGAGTTCCTTCTCGTGGCCACAGGGCATTCTGACTTTGTCGAAGAGGAAGAGAGGCCTTTTTAAAATCCTGATCTGGGAGTCCAAACCATACACTAAGCCTTGACTGTTTGGATCCCTCTTCAGCTCCTTAAAAGTGACTTCTCATGAAGGGCCTCATTTCTACACGGAGGAATTATTTACGATCTGTGCAATCAGCCCATCCATTGCAAGCCCCTCTCAAGATCTGTGGTGCGGGCTTTGAATATTCGGTCCATGATGTGTGTGCAGATGCAGTGCTCTTGGAAAACTGCTCAGCACTTGTATTTCCCCAAGGCTCCTTGTGAATTGCCCTCACTTTCCCAAGAGCACGTCAGAACCGAGCCAGCCCTTCTTCGCAGTTCCGCAGCATAGGTAGCAGCCAGCTCCCGGGAAATCATAGGCGCCTGGGTAGGAGAAAGGATGGTTCTGACTTTTCAAAAGAGGGGACCTTTGAAATGCACATTAGACAGACAACTTTACACCAGAGGCTTCTTTTTCCCATACCTCTATTTTTCTGCCAATAGTTTCAGAGCACCAATCTTATTTTTGCTCCAATGTGTAAAATGTTTCTGTAAGTATTTATAATGCAGCCTCTTAGAAGACACTTCCATGAAATGACTTTGACGCCACTGTCTGTACGTCACTGGTAGCGAGCGTGGTGGACTCTCGAGTACAGCATTCTCTTTACCCATCTGGAACCAATGCCTGCCCGTTGTTTGCTAGCATGCTTATCATGCGATGGCGTGAACCCGAGGTCCCAGAAGACTTCATGTTCCTTTCAGGCTAAAAGGCTATGAGGGGGAATGCGGTGCAACTTGCCGACCAGGTGTAGACTACATTGAAGAAAAAGCATGGCTCCCATCCTATGATGCCGGACCCAAGGGCAGGCGAGATGCACTTAAATGTTAATTTACTTATAACCAGAGTCTGTATGGAAAAATCTGTGTCTGTAGATAGGCTCAGAAGCCACTTTGACTTAGGCTTTCTTAGACTTCTGGAAGCCTGCTTTAACAGCCCTCCAGCATTGGTTGATGATGATGACAGACAGGTGTCCATCGTCTGGGATTTTCCCAGCTCTGACTCTCGTGGACACTTACTGACACATGCAACCCCTTGGCGTCATTTCCAGAGAGCTATTTGAATACGCTCAGTGCACTGTGCCCTTTAGTGGAGCGGGGCTCCTGTTAACCACAGTAATATCGCTTCGCCTCTTCATTCTAAAGCCCTCGTCCGTTCAACATAAGTCTGTCCAGCTGAAGCCTCCATGCCCTGTAAAGATGTGCGAGACATTTTATGATTCCCGAGTATTTTACAAAAAGCATTTTTTTCCAATTAGCAAAACACTTTATATACAAGTTGGTTCTCAAGCTCTGTGTTACAGCTACTCTTTTTTTTTTTTAAATAAAGAATCCGGTTTCTAAATGTCCCTATCTTATTAAAACGAAAGGTGCCAATCTATTAAGGGAAAGACCTCTCCATTTGAACTGGTTTTTATACTTCACTAATCTTTACATGCTCAGAAGAAAACTTTATACAGCGATTTAGTCTTTGTGAGACACAAGCTAATGAGGCAGTAGAGATGTGCCCAACCTCCTCTTCAGAGTCCGCCTCTCTGACCCCTCCTCCCCCCATTTCTCAAGCAGATCGTCTATCGGACTGGCCACGCAGCATTCTGATTCCTGAGATAGAGACCCAAGAAGCGAATTGCAGTACATATCTGTCCGTTATCCATCCAGTAGTGTCAGAATGTGCTCTGGATTTATTGGTGTCCTGTATGACAGCCCTGTGGGTGTACCTAATCTGCAAGCATGATGATGTGTATTCAGATGGAGAGCATTTAACGTGCAGTGGGTGGCCTGGCTGGCTGCCCCGTGCCATCTTCCTGCCAACCCTGTGTGGTATGACTGTGGACAAGGCGCTTCACCTCTCTGGACCTCCGTGTCTCCATCTGTAAAATGGGTTTGAAATCCCTGGTGGCTGAGAGCTCTGTTCTCAGAGGCTTTAACCCAATGGTCCTGCCCCTCCCTTGGTCCTACCAACATGTTGGTGCTATAAGCTGCTTCAAATACTAAATCGGTATGTCTATAATATACGTTCTTTAATAGCTTATCAGAGGCCTTTCTGTTATGTAGCTTTCTTCGCCCTGGTTGTATGGATTTGGTTACTGTAATTATGTCTTCGTTTTACCCATGTAAACACATTCTCTTGATGTCTCAATTTGTGTCTGATATGTAGTTGATGAGATTTTGTGATTTTATAACATTCTTTGGCTCCTCACCTGTCCAGCATCTGAGTATAACCTTACCACTGTGATCACTGTGTGGCAATCTATGCTATGGAAAGAATAAAAGCTGTTACTTCACCGCAAACATGGGTCACGGATTTGAAAGCGAGTTTTCTTAAAACACCAGTGCGCTCCATACTGGACCAGTGCCCCTTGTCTCGTCCTGCTCACTGTTTTTGCTCAATGAATTAATAAAAGGCCACATCTCTCCTCCCCCTTTTCCTCCACTCACTCAGTGAACATTTTCTCAATGCCCAAAGTCAGGCTCGGCTGACACCCAAATAAATAGACTCACTAGAGGGTGGAGGGTGAGAATGGCTGACGCAGGCCAAACGTTCCAGCGCTGCGGGGCACACGCCCGGAGGTAGGTAAACGTAGGTCTGTCAGACCCAAAGGAAGGAGCACCCGGCTCCTAAAGGAGTGGGTGGGGTGATGCTTGAGCTGGGTCCTGAAAGAGCAAGAAGTCCCACTGTACACACTGGAACGGAGACTTGGGCGGAAAGGACCGGAGGAGTCGAGAAGTGGGCTCAGAGCTAGTGTGCCAATGGTCTCCCACACAGTTTGTTTATCCCGCGAGCAACCAGGAGCCAGGGGAGGTTGTTACGGAGAGGAGTGAGGTCATGGTTCACCGTGTGTGGAGGGCTGTTGTCTATCCTTGAGCCCCAGATGTGGCCATGGAAACAGATAACAAATGGAAGGTCTTTAGACTCCTGGTGACTCAGATTCACCGGTGTTTGCCCAAGGTAGTCTGCCTACTCCTCAGTCCCTTCCTCCAGGGCCGGGATTCCCACAGAGAGGAGGGAGGAGGATGGCCTCCGGAGAGGGAGAGTGGAAGGCTGCCAAGAGCACTTGCTTCGGAGCCAGAAAAGCTGCACACGGCCGATTCTGAGAACCAGTACACACACACACACGCACACCACAGCAAAAAGATGCTCACCAGTCTAAAAAGGCACAGGAACTTTGGGTTACTTTGGCCATGAAAAGCAAGCAATAAATGACAAGACACTTCTGCTGACTGGCCAAGTTAGAAGTTTTTGACCTTTCATGGGAGAACACAATACTGGGGAAGGCCACGTCCAGTTGGGTAGGGTGCATTTCAAAGAAGTAGGTCGGAGGGGGAACAATCATGAGGCCGAAAGTGCAGTACATGGGAAATGTACCCTCAATGTTATGCACCAACTTAATCAAACCTTGGGGTCAGTGTAGGGGCTTCAGGTGGCGAGGCACGCCCAGGCCTTTCCTCCTCTCCTGGACATGACGGGGCTCTGTCTCCCTCTGGAAGAGGTCAGTGGTACATGGACACTCACTGAAGCCGCCTTACTTGCGCTAGGTAGATAGGTGCCTGTGGGTGACATTTCGAGACTTCTATCCTGTTCTCCAACAGTCTTCCAATGGTTTAACATCCAAGTGGAATTGGAACTTGGTCACCCCAAAGCTCTATTCCCGGCTTTACGATGCTTTGGTTTATAGCTCTGACCCTGTCTGCAGACCCACCTCTAGCCCCTCAGCATCATTAGCCTGTTCCAGAGCAAGTCCGACTTGTATTCAGCATACCCTTTGCCTGCAGGCAAGCCCTTCCGTTGCTGCATTTACTACCTTCATCAGAGTCATTCAAGTTGATTGCAGGCGTTTAACTGTTGGCCGGCCACCCCTGGGGCAACATGTATACTTGGTTTCAGAAATCCTCAACTATCCAACAATCTTGCCAGAAATAACACTTTCTCTGAGGAAAATGCAGTCCAAGTAAAGCCAGCCTAAGATGTTAATGACTCCGCGCTACGTCTGCAGGAGACCTGCAGCACCATCCGGTAGAACTGTGACAAGAGGAATGGAAGATGACAGTGACGTCTAAGTCATCCTGGAGAATTGATGTCACATTATCCACTGTTCCCAGACTCTGAATCCTCCTAGCTAGCTATCTGATTATAAAAGCAAATACTGAAAACAGTTGAGATAAGCACCAGTAAGATGCAAGTTCTGGAAGTCTCGGGTTTTTCTTGGAGACCTGTAGTTTTCTTCCTCTGATCTAACAACCCGACCACCCCTAGCTGCCCACCCTCCATGTACACTTGATTAGGGGTAGAAGTGGGAGCCTAATCAATGCTGGCCCTCACATTAAGGACATTGGCTATATAACATCACAGGGCTCTGTGAACCCCAAGTTTGTGCACTCGGGTACTGGCTCTGTGCCAGACGTAGCAGACTTGGTCATGAATGTCCCCTGGGATCAAGAGGAATGATAAGCTCAGGGAAAGGTTGGCATGGGAAGTACAAGTATCACAGGGTATTTTTACACAGCTTAGGAAAACGCTAGCACAGCAAGTGTGGTATCAAGTGTCCTTGTAATGGAGATTTAAATAAAAAACCAATTTAAACATTTAAACAGAACTATCCAGAGTCCAACCTCACTGCTGTCAAGTCAGTTCTGACACAGAGTCACTATAGGACAGGTTGGAACTGAAGTAGAACTGAAGAGCCCGAATGGCAGAGTGGGCTGCACATTGAGCGGCTAACCACAACATCACCTGTTCGAAACCACCAGCCATCTGTGCAAGAACGATGGAGATTTCACCTCCTGTGACGAGTTACAGGCCCAGAAACCCACAGGGACAGCCCTACCCTGTCCTGTGGGGTTGATATTAGTCAGCATCGACTCAATGACAGTGAATTACTATGGGCCCCGGGGGTTGTATCAACAGTTACTGACTGGGCCACTAACCGAAAGGATGGCAGTTCAAACGCACCCAGAGGTGACTCGGGAGAAAGGTTTCCAAAAGGTCACAGCCATAAAAGTGCAGGGGATCACAGTTGTCCTCTGTGCACATGAGTAGCATCGACTGGGCGACAACCAATAGTACCGTTTGCAGAAGGGGCCTCAAAAAGTTCATGCAAGAACATGGTGTTAAAAGAATGGAGTTTTTCCACAAACTTTTGAAGCCCCCTCATATTTGGAGTTAGAGTTTTGGAAGCCTGCAGGGGACAGTTCGTCTCTGGACCACAGGGTCACTGCGAGGCAGAACTGACTCAATGTCAATGAGTATTTACCCTTTTACCACATGTGGACAAAGGGGAAACTGTCACGTACCCTGGGGTCTGAGGAGGCAGCCATCCCGGGTGAGTGCTGCGTGTCAGGAAGGGCACACGGAGAGGAGACGGGCGTGCATGTCCGTTTGTAACCTGGGAACCACTTCCCACCGCCAGTGCATCCCAGTGGCTTTGTTCTAAAAGAACCCCTTCATGCTCAACACCCTGGGCCCAAGCACAGTCTGTCAGCGTTCAGACATTGACTCACTGAGGAAGGAGGGACCAGCGCGGGCTTCCGTTTAACCTCACCTTACATAACCCTGGAGAGGAAAGTGCAAGCTGTTATGCTCCATCTCACAGATAAGAAGACAGAGGCTCCGAAAGTGGAGAAGGCTCCTTGAAAGTAAACGGTATCAAGCTCCACAGGACGGATAAGAAAGCCGGGGCTCAGAGACGTTGAGAAAGGCGCACAGATCCAGAGGGGGTGACCGTGGGCTCCTCGTCTGTATAGATAGTATAAATAGGGGAAAGAGGGTCAAAACGAAGTGTGGGGATTTTTCTTAACTACTCAAGGGAGGTAAGGTGAGTGAGTAAGCGCTGCAATATCAACCATGTAACGTGCTGCATCATCATAGCAGTAAACAGGCACGTGTCCAGGCACATGCTGTGGTCACGGACTGTTCTTCGTGTTTTGCATCTATTAATTCATTGAATTCTGACAATAAACCCACAAGGTAGCTACTATTATTATCCCTACTTTACATAGAAGGAAATGGAAGCAGAGAAAGGTCCATTTGATCCACTGGAGTATATTTGACACTGGCTTTGTCGTGTTTGATTGAGTAGTTAAGATGATATGAGAGCAAACGTAAGTTAATATTTCCTTTAGCCTGTGTTTTTTATATAGTTTGACAGGAGACAGCAATTCACACCCAGTCACCTTGTGTCATCCCTACCCCAAATCATTTTACATTCTTTTCCTTGGATCGAAAATCAGGAGTCCCAAGTACAGGGGACAGACGGGTATGTGGGTTTGCTGTGACTAATTACAGGTATTTAAAAGGCATGTGAAGAATGACTTCCTGCTACTCCAGCTACTGACTCTCCAGAGGACTGGAAAGAAGCTGTAAGAAAACAATGAATTGTAGAAGTCGTTTGGGCGTTGTTTGCCCACAAAGTTCTGCTGGCCCAGAGGGCTGAGGGTTGGGCGCCTGACCAAGAAAAAGCTCAGGGCTTTGAACTCACCACCTTCTGCACAGGACAAAAACGAAGCCGACTGCTCTTCTAAAGATCGACAGCCTCCAAAGTCCTGTGCAGCAGCCCTACTCCGTCCTGCAGCGTTGTCATCGGTGGAAACAAGCAGTATGGCAACGATGCTTGCTTGCTTGCCTGCTTGCTTTGCCCACAGGTAATAAATTAAATGAGCAAAGTTCAACCACAAACTGACACAACGCCTAATAAGGTGAATGCACTAAATACCATTACGCAAAGAAGAATAGCCCACTCAGACATTAGCTGTGAGTATCAGGATTTCCGAAGCCAGGCAAAGAGAAATGTATCCACTTGTTGAGCTTCTCCTATGTTCCAGGCATGCTAGTTAGGGGTGTCTGGGAATAAACCCAGAAAAGGATCTCCCAGAGAGTGAGGCGGGGTAATGGAAGTGGGCCGAGGGAGGCACACAAAGTTACTAGGCAGTGTGGTAAATACCATGATAATAAATGGCTGTGCCTGCATGAGTCAGGAGAGGTTTCAGAAAGGAGGCAATATTTCAGTTGGGCCTTGAAGCATGAGTAGGAGTTTGTTAGTGGAAAAATAAGGAGAGTTTATCTGCAAGCAGTAAAAAAAAGCAGGTTTTGCAGCACAACTGGTCGTTTGGAACTGTGCCTGTCCAGTTAGCTGCCCAAGGCATAGCAACCACCTCAGTGGGGGTAGGTAAACATTGAACACCTTGTCAACTGGCTTTCCTGTTAATCCATCTTAATTTGTTGTATTTTTATTATTTTCTACTACCTTTTAGAATGAAGAAAATGTGACCAATGTTACGGAACAAGGTTAAAGTAC